CTGCTCGAGAGGAACTCTCTGCACCGGGCAGCAGAGGGGGAGGTGCAGGGGGCGTGGCGGGAGGGTGGCCCGGCTGAAGCTCCTCCTGGAGGGGACCGGACGGAGGACACAGTTTGCATTCCTCTGCAGTCCTGGAAGGGGTTAAACCCACGGAGCCTTTTGCTAGAGAGGCCGCTTCTTTGCCGCATCGCAGGATTGTCCTGTGATCAGCACCTCCCCCCTAACCATGGGACCTCAACGGGACCTCCACCGGACGTCTGATCGCACAGCCGCACATTATTTTGCTCCAGGGCAAACAGCCACGTTTCCCCCCGCATTTTCCTGCCCATAGAAGGGGTGAGAGGAGAAGGGGACGTGAGGGAAGATTAGTAGATAAGGGGTGCGTGCAGAAAGAAAGAGGAGGGTACTTTGATAATAAAAGGGGGAGGGGGAAAGGTAGGGGAATGCCCCCTCTCCACAAGTTCCTTGTGAGGACTGCCTGCAACTAAGACTATAGTAGGGCCACAACACATTATGCAACATTTTGTTGCGCGTCCCTTCTTGTCAATGTATCTAATTCTCAACTTGGCCAAATCTGAGGACTCTTAAATATGGAGACTGGAGTTGTGAACATGCAGGACCAAATAAAATCTAATTTAAAAAAATTTGTTGGGGGGGTTAAAATCTCACCAAAACATAAAAGGAGCACCTGTAGCTTTAAGAAACAGATGACCTCAGTAGTTGTTGCTAGGAAACAATTTTGCCAGCATTCCAGGCTTGGTTTCTGTTAGTAAAAGGCAGGGGAGGGTGTAGGGCCATTTCCAGGGCAGTTGTGGCCTTTTAGGGAGGACTCACTGAGGCCAGGCCTGGTGACAACCTCTGGGCAACTTGCTACCAACCAACTTGCATGACTGCCCTAGACCATGGTACTTGCTGCTACTCAACAGCAAAGCTAGTATGCTTTAGCAGTTAGAGTTTCAGAGTAGGGTCTGGGAAACCCACTTTTGTATGCCCACTCTGTCATGGGAAGTCACTGGGTGACCCTAGGTCAGTTACACATTCCCAGGGTAACCTAATTCACAGGATTGTTGTGAAGATAAAATAAAGGAAAAGAGAATGATGTTTCTTTTGCTCCTTGTTGTGGCAAAAGGCAAATGAAGTAAATAATACAGCTGAAAATGAGGGCAGAAAACGTAGGTTGGTGTGTGAGAAGGAGGTTAGGGGAGCTGTCCAGAGGAGAGAAAGAGGAAAATAGTGTGACGAGGTAGATTCAGGGGGAAATGAGGTGCCCCCCACAAGTCTTTTTGCATTCACTACTAAGTAACTGGGTCTGGCCTGCGGGCCAACACTGCACAACTGGGCTATATTTTTCCCATGCAGAG